ACTCACTAGCCAAGCCCAGCTCCATTCCCCGGGGTCAGGCGTTGGCCTCGCTGTCCTGGCCAGACCCCAGTTCTGCCCCCTGCAGTTACCAGTGGTGACAGAACCCCCTTCACTTCCTGTCTTAAACTGCTGTGCAGCGCGGCTATGATATGGCTACTGTGCTCCACCCCAGATATAGCTGCATTTGTACACCAGGCAAGGGGTCCCTGTGTAACCAGCCCCCTGCCCCAACCCAGAGGTGGCTGCATCTCCGCGAGCGGGGAGTGGTGTCCAGCCTCACCTTGCCTCTCCAGAGACTCTTTCCCATGCTGGACAAAGCTCTTGATCTGATTGACACACGTCATTCTCAGGAGAAACTGAAGCGTGATGGCCACAACCTGGTTGTAGTTAAGAATCTCCTGGGCTTTGAGAGTCAGTTTATCCCCCCGGCGAGCGACCCATTTGCCGCTGTCCGTCTCAAAGCTGACAAAGTCCTCGCCGTTCATCCCAGCATCACAGAATCGCCTCGAGGTGCCATTGGGGAGGAGCTCGCAGCCCTCGGTGAACTGGGTAACAAAGGGGTCTGGAACAGGAAGGGCAGGGGGAGAGGGCAGAAAGAGGGAGATGGGGGGGGGGGGGAGAAATAAAGGCATAATGTCAGGTGCAATGAGGACGTTTAGCCACAAGATGGTGGTGGGATTGTGGGGAGACCCTGGCTCGAGGTCAGGGTACGTTGCAGGTTCTGTTTAAAGCTGATTTTTCAGTGTTCTAACGTCCACATGCATAGTCGGATTGGCTCGAAAATCGCTGTGAGATATCCAGGCCTGAGGTGCAAACTTGGGGTCACTTTATCAGGGGGATCTTGAGATAGAGACCCCGTCCCAAATAAATGCTTAATTATTTAGAACGTTATTTGTGATGTTCTAGAGAAAACTGTGGCCCTGAGCCTCAATACACTTACACCCCTGGGCTCCCCTGAGCTCAGCTCTGCACCGGTGGCAAGGACACGTTTGGCTTCCCAAGGTTACAAAAGTCCCCGGGCCTTGGTTCTGTCTGTGGAGCAGGACGCCGGGCGGTGGCACCTCTGCGCACAGACAGTTCACACCTCTGCGAGGGATTCTTTCCTAAGCAGCGACTCAGGGCGTGACATACCGAGTCACACACTCGCTCAGCGGGAGAGGCTGCAACCTCGGAGCCCCGGGAGGACCCATCCAAGCCCTGTCACCGAGCGGTGCCTGCGGCTGTGAGCTGTGATCACACGGCCGGCTGTCACTCTGTCGTGAAACACACCTGCCCAGGCAGATTGCCGTGAGACTAGCTCTCCCCCAGCAAGGTGCAGGGGAGACTTTGTGGGGCAAATTTGGGGGCAGGTGGTTAAGGGGTTCCTGAGAGAAAGTCTCGCCCAGGACCTGCTTTTAGTGCTCCAGCATCAGACACCCAGCGCAGACCCTGGGCTGAGCCGCTGAGCAGGGCCGTGCTGGGTTCTCTCCCATCCCCTGGGGCAGCGCTGGCTGGGAGGGTGGGGGAGGCATTAGCTCAGCTCTGCGTTTCCTGCCCATGTGTCAGTTTTCACGGTTCAGGCAGGACAGGTGGCACCTTGGGCAGCCTCCTCCCTCCTTTCCACTTCCCCCTCCTTCGACAAAGGCCTTGAGTAGGGCACATGGTCGTGAAAGACCATGAGCCTAGGGTCAGGGGCTGGGACATGGGGTCTTTCCCCTCTAGGGCGCACAGGCTACAATCTGGCCCCAGAGCGGGGGACTGGCTCAATGGGGTGGAGAATGGGATACGGGGCCTTTCCCTCTAGGAGACTCTGGCTCCATTCAGCCTAAGGGCCAGGGCCTGGCTGTCTTGCCCCCGATCCACCCTGTCAGGACACACTCCGTTGCTGCGGGGAGCGTGTCAGTTCTCAGCTCCCCGGTGGGTGCGGGAAGGGACCCCTCAGACTGCACCATACTCACAGCCCTCTCCTTCTTCCTGAACCAGAATGTTCACCATACGGATGAAGTTGGACAGATTGTTATAGATCAACTTCTCCAGGTCCTGCCACTGCTTCGGGGTCAGGCCCTGCTGGGCCCAGGGCTGCAGGAAGCGGACCTTGCAGGTGCTGCAGTCCAGGGAGTGGGTCTCCAGGTCACCCAGCAGGGCCATCCCCTGCATGTCCGTGGAGCTGGCATTGTGGAAGATGATGGTTTGGAGCAGCCGGAGGGTGAGAGATTCTGGGGGGACAGGAGGGGAGGCTGTGGGGAGGGGAGGGGAGAGGAAACAAGTGGAGGATAAAGCAAGTGGGGAGAGAGATTAATGAGTCTCCTTAACGCTCCCTGCTGACCCCTAACCCGCCTCCCCCC